TTGGTCATCAATGACTGACTCGTTTGGTGATCACTGTCAAATTTGTTATTGAATTTGCTACTTTTACAGATCACTTAGCTCACGTTATTGAACTTCTTGGGAAAGTTCCAAGGCACATAGCTCTTTCAGGGAAATATTCCAGGGATTTCTTCAACAAGAAAGGTAGGTTTTACCCCGAGCCTGTTTAATCATTTACAATTTCTGTTTTAGTGAAACAGCAACGAACAGGCTGTCAGACAGCATACAGATGGAGTTATAGCGTAAGGACGGCGAACGCGCTTTGGTCATTTGGCGACTGTTGAATTTGTCAAGATTTTGAATCACTCGAAAACAGAGCATGTGTGAATGGTCGTGCTATAACTAACTAAATCGCGGTACATTTCTCCAACTTCCAAATTGTATTCTGCCCAAGAAGTGAATTATTTGGATAAAATTGCTGTGACACTTGTTTGAGACATTTTTACAATTTTTCAAGGCCTCTGCTTCCTACTTACAGGAAAGTAGAGTTTTCGACAAAAGCGAGGAGCTGGCGAGTTTTGCGGCGGGTTATATATCTCGTCTTATTACCATCTCCTTGTCAATGATCGAGTGGTCACTCGTTTGTCCTAACACAGTTAATCGCAACTTGGCGAGTGCACTGTTCCTGTGCCTACTCCACTAAACTTTTGCTACCTTATTCGGCTATCGTTAAAAACTCTGGACATGGTACTGCACGACTCTGACCTCTGATTTCTTGACCTTGCTTGACTTGTCTGAAAATAGGCGCATACTTTCTAAGATTGTTTTGATTTTCTAAGCGGTCTGTTAAATTTGTTTTTATTTTCTTTGTCTCTATCAGGAGAACTCAAACACATTTCCAAGTTACGTCCTTGGTAAGTAGTTTCTCGTTCATTATTTCAGAGAATAGTTCATAGCGGTACATATTCACAAGGTAAACCTTGGACGACAAGTTTTGCCTCCGTAAAGATTTTATAGCTGACGTTTCGAGCGTCAGCCCTTTCGTCATGCGCTTTGACGAAGGGTAATGCTTCAAACCTTGAATTGGGTAGGAGTCATGTTAAGGTTACTGTTTTGTTTTCGAGGAAAGTCCTCAGAGCTGCAGATTTAAGTTTTAATCTTTTTCTCTTCCAGGGGACTTTACGATGTTCTTCGTGAGAAGTACGAGTGGCCCGAGAAAGACGCCATGGAATTCTCAGCGTTTCTGCTCCCAATGCTCGACTTCAACACGGATAAACGGGCTACAGCCGCGCAGTGCCTTGAACATCCTTGGCTGAAAGAAGTTTAGGAGAACCCGGAAGAGTAAAACAAACCTCTGTTCGATGAATTTCGTGTTCATTACTCTTTCAAGCCATCTTGTACAGCTTAAGATGACCAAGGGTTATTTGATATCTTCAGGGTGTGTCCTGTTTTACTTTCAAACCCATTCTTCCAAAGATGGTCGAGCGCCGTTAGCTTAAAACAACAACGCTTTGTGTTGGAGACGAAACGAAAAGGATTAAACTAAGGTTATATTTTCGTTTGGAACTTTACCGTTCACTTCTGATGAAAGATATTGCTGTAAAAAAATTACTGTAAAGAAGAAGAAAGAAGACCGCACAACTTTGCGAAAAGACTAGACGTTCTTTTGTGCGTTTTGAAACACTTTAATGTAAATTGTCAGTTGGTGGCTTACATTCCTTGTCAATCTTGTCCATCATTAACGTTCGTCGCTGTATTCTGAGCTTTTCTTTCCTTAGAAGAGTTTTTCCATATAACATTACTAATATTTTGTACTTCCCCTTACTTTAGCGCAGTAGTTATCACCTTTCCCGCTCCAGATGTCTTGCATTGACCTTAAGATTTCATTCTTTTGGCGATGACTGAGCCTGCTGATTGATTGTTGCTTGGAGACGAAATTTTGCGCGAAAGCAGCAGCTAATCAGAGGAACTTTCATTTTAACATGTAGCGGGGAGTGTAAAACCTATGCTTCTGACGCAGCTCACCGGGAGTCGTACTGTAAAGTTTTGACACCGTTTGCGAGCATTGGGCGTATTACAGTCGTTCCAAAAGAAAAATTTGTGTCAACGGAACTGAGCATCTTTTACCCAAAACCAAAGTAAGCACAGATGCCAGTCAAAGCAGACGAAAATAACATAGTTAACCAGAGCCAACTCTAAAGGTAAAATAAACGACCAAATCAGCGCTGAGGCGGGACAACGATTGAGTTTATAATTTGCATCTGATTGGCGAAGAGGTTAAGCGAATTTTATTGACCAATCAGAATGAGGCAAGCTAACAAAAAGAAATTCAGGTATAATTTTGTTGTGGAGTTCAAGATTAACCATATGGTACGCATAGTACGCGCCACTTTGTGCTTTTGGTCACGAAATAGGATATTTATTCCATCGTTGCTTCATTTGGTTGGATTATTCTCGGCACTTTAATTTCTGAAGTTTCCTTGGTATTCGTAAACTCCATTTACGCGGTTTAGGTCTACAAAACTAAAAAAGTTCCCAAAACCTCCAAGAGAGCCTCGGACTTCATTCAATTATAGTTTCCTCCAAATTCAAGCGACCTGTGAAAAGCTTAATCTATTTCAGACTTAAGTTGTATGAAACCACAAACACAGGACATCCTATTCAAAGAAGTACGACTTGTTCAATATTCGAAGTATTTATTAAGGCTTACGAACTATACTTNAAAATAAAACCAATAAAAGGTGTTAAAGGTCAATTAGACCCTCGACCAATCACGAGAGCCAACAGACTTCAACTTAAACAATTTAATCTGACTGATAAAGTTATCTATATTTGCCCCCAAGGTTTACTTAATCTTTTAAATGATTCTGTTTTCTTCCTCAAGAGAAATAAAGCCGCGAAGTATATTGTATATTGTAAGCGCAATTTTCCTAGTTTTTCCATTAAGGTTTATTAAACAAATTAATAACAGTTGGTAGAGGGACCCAGTGAAAAAGTTTGGCTTTCAGAGTCAAGCATCCCTTATTGAACGATAATGGTGCAAACTGATTCACTGAAAATATAACCGTTGAAGTATCGTGAAGTTTTCAAATTAGATCAACTCAATTAACTCTTTACACCCTAATATCAGCACACGTAATCTTTACTATTCTCTACACATTTCCCAAGGTGCTGACGAGGAGAATTTAATCTTTGATTCAGTGATGATATTGTAGGGAGAAATTATACGTTAGTCTTTAAGGGTTGAGGGAAGGCGTGGAAATTAGAGTTTTTCTCACTCCCCCCTACCCCCCCCTCCCCCCCTCAAAAACAAAAAAAGAAAAAAATTTCCTGTCAATTTTCGGTGCGGGAATCGACTTGTAAATGACAAATTAAATTTGAATTATTATGATATGATCAGGCATTTTAATGCGTGTTCTCCGAAAAGGGGCTAAGCTGACAATCTGCCACCCCGGCGAGCTGACAGTTAACGGCTCACCCGGCTGAACAAGGACCTAGGTATGGTAGGTAAAGCCTGCTTACGAGCCAAGTGGCCTATCGGGCCAGCGCTTAACTCCGGTTTCTGTAGCATGAAGCGACTAGGAGTATTTCTACACTCCCTGGATGGGATTCAAGTCCATCACAAGGTTACCCTCAGCATTAAATTCGCCAGTACCCATTTATACACCTGGGTGAAGAGAGACACTGTGAGAGTAAAGTGTCTTGCCCAAGAACACAACACAATGTCCCCGGCCAGGGCTCGAACCCGGACCACCCGATCCGAAGTCGAGCGCACAAAACATGAGGTCACCACGCCTCCAAGAACAAGGACATAGAGGGTCTAGAGGGACGCGATGAATCATCAATTGATACCTTTTTTTTTTCTCCAATTTTGTTTGTTTGGAACCTATTGGACCTAACGATTGATGATGACGATGACCTAACGATTGTTCATGAGTGATACAAATTAATTGTAGTCGGTCGTCTTTGATCCTAAAGATATTCTGTGCATGCGTAGTCCTGTCCAGACTCGCCTCCGAGCCCGCTCTCCTATTGGTCAAGAATGCGAGCTCTCGATCCCTACGCCTCCCGGTTTGCTGAATGGATAGAGCGCTTGACTGTTGTGCGGGAGGTCGAAGGTTCGAGTCCCGGCCGGACCAACACTCAGGGTCTTAAAATAATTGAGAAGAATTTGCTGCCTTTCTATAACATCAAGAAATGGTTAGATATTCTAGCCTTCTTGGATAGGGACAAATAAATGGAGGTCCCGTCTCCTGCAGGGTTAGGGGTAGGAGACGTTAATTTCCCACACAGGAGATTACTGTGTGATGGATGTCCTCCCCTGGGGTGGGATGGGTGGGTTTATTGGGCTCGCAGTAATTGGCGCAAGCTGTTGCGGTGTCCCTGCCGGTTGGCGAAGCTAAATAAATAAA